GCCACTTCACGTGAGTTTCTTTGAATGCACGTATCTAGATAAAAAAGAACGGGGAAATGTTCTGGCAGGCAGCTTGACAACTTCAGCTGTGCAAAATTACTTTTTACATGTAGTTACAACCCAATTTCAAGGGAGAATTATCCCCTTCACACTGGTAATTCCTTTGACTGTGACTGCTGGGCTGTGGTATGCCCTGAATAGAGGGCTTTGTCCATCAGCAGGCCCCATTGAACCAGCAGCTGCATGGTGAATAGACTGTGTGTGTGGTATGCACTAATCCTCACACAAAGCCGCAGCTCTTGCCGTCTCCCAAAGAAAGGGGTTAAGGGCAGGTGTCATTCCAGATTTCAAGATGTCTACAAGATAGCAAATGCTACAACTCTTTTCAAATACTGATTTTTAAAATTTTTTTAGCAAGTTGCACTCTCTATATATTTTATACCTTGAAATGTTTGCATGTTTCAACTTTAAGCTTGTCGGAAAGCATAACAAATTTCTGTTAGTGAAATCCCATGGACACACGTGGTTCACCTTAATCACCTACACAGAACTTTTTTCAGTTTTAAAAACCTATCAATTTCACGGAAGATGCTTTGAATTTCAAACCTCAAATCAATATTAAACCGCTCAATTTTGGGGATGAGGAAGTTGGAAATCTGACCTCTCTGGACAGAATCTTGGCTGTGGGGACATCGCAGACATCAGACAAAGCCACAAAGTCTCCAAAAGATGACATGCGGTCAGCACCTTGTGCAGGGAAAAGACACACAAATTAGTCATTGATTTAATTTTTTTTAGGGGGGGGTGCATTTTGCATTATATGTGTCATTCTTAGTTTGACTAGGTCTGCATTTTGAAGAACACTGACCACACTGTGCCGTTTCTTACTTCGATGCTAATCTTTTTTCGACCGTATGAAAGATTACTAAGGAAATTTGACCTGTGGTCACCGAACGGTCCTTACTCGGACTTTCCCCCTAGATGTGAGGGTGTTTTAATAAACTCACCCCTGGCCCTAGCATAGGCTGTTGCCAACGGTGTCAGGGGCATCAGATCATCCACCATGCAGAGCTTGGCCTGCTCGGGACTCAACTCCACGCCGACGGCAGCACCTGGGCAAAGCAAAGGGAGAGAGGCCGCCGTCATTTCACGCAAAGGCCGGTGTCTTCATTGTCTTTCAGTAAAATGAAAATGCCATTGATTTTTCATCTTGATGGATTACAAAAGGTTAAGGTAATTACAAGAGGGAAGTATCAGAAGTAAGGCTTAGCAATGTGGACGGCTGATTATCGGGATTTTTTTTTATCACCGAAGCCATTGTGTGACCAAATGTCCGAGTGTGATATGTATGAATGGTCCATAAGATCTAATCTGTCAAATTTCATTCTCAAAAGGTACAAATCATGGCACTGGGCAATATGCCTCCACCATGGCGTAGCTGTCGTGCTTTTCTACTATTCAAAGCAATGTTACCAAACAGATTATTTTTTCCAAATAGGAAAAATATTCTGTTCCCTTTTATAAATATGCAAAGATGTATCACTACTGCCAACGGGTCTACAGGGAACAAGACAAGCATGGCAGTATTACGATAACAGTCTATAGCATATGCTGTTGCCCATGTGTACATCATACAAGGTATGGTGTATCAATCTATTTCACGGCCGTTTTACAACCGTCCCACTTTTGTCAACATACGTCCGCCTACCTGCCGGGCTGACGTGCTTGAAGGAGGTGGCCGCCGGTATCCCGAGGGCGGTCCGCAACTCCTTGACCAGCTGCCAGGCGTTGAGGGCGTCGCAGAGGTTGATGAACCCCGGCGACCCGTTCAGCACCTTCAGGGGCAGCTCGGTGCGGGTGGTGAACAGCTGGGCGGGCTTCTGGTGGGGGTTGGTGCCATAGCGGAGCCCCAGCTGCGCCGCGCCGCCGCCGCAGTACTGCTGGCGGAAGAAATCCGAGATGGCCGCGTCGTACAAGGCAGTGTGAGTAAATGCCTGTAGGAAAAGACGATAATAACACAACTCCATCAAAACGAAGCCAATCAGAGGAAATTTAAGAAATTTTTTACAAAACCTGGCAAGTGGTTTGGCAATCATAAGCAAGAATTGGTTAAGTTGCCTCACTCTTGTCAACTCGTTTTGGGTACCGAGTGCTATATCATCACACGTAACTTTTGCCCAATCAGGAAGCAGGGCAGCTCGAATTTCCTCGCCAACCTCTTCTTTTTAAAATATAAAATTTTAAAATGTAAAACAAATACATTTTAATTTGACCTCAATGTTTACTCAAAATCAAGATAGTTCCATCCAAAACACTCCGAGTTGAGAACCTGAACTATGTATTGTCTAACTAATTCAATCTACTTCACATGACTGTGCCGACACAAAAAATGAAGAGACGACAGGGATGACATGAAAGGTTGCAGAAGTTCCACACGGGCAAAAAAAACCCTGCATCTCTGTAAAGGCTACAGCACAGGCTGGTCAAAAAACACAAGCATGGGGGATGGCTTCAACAGGCCCATGTGCCGTGCCTAGCTATAGCCATGTCATTGCGATGCGGCTGTACCTTGACGGCTAGCTTCTGCCTGGTTTCCAGCTTGGTGTCCTTGTCCACGCTGGCTTCAATCTCAGCCAGAACGCTGCCACGGACAAAAGCAAAACATGACTTGGGCACTCGGCATGTTGATGCCCCTAATTTTGCTGGAGAAACTGAAATTCTGAGGGGGGGGATGTCGATTAGGGAGCGAAATGACGTGAAAACGGCACCGTCAATTAGACAAAGAGGGGCAAGTGAATTAGAGATTTGTCGAAGGGGCCCAAGAGACTGGATCCCCAGCCAGCAGCATCAGGATGAAAGCAAATCCATACTATGCACATTTGACTGCTTCTTTCTACCCACAAGGGTGTGAAATTATGGTCCGACACTAGACATTAATGACCATTTGTACTACTTGGCTGACCAACAGCAGACATGGTGTCAAAATGTCGGAGGGGGTTGGAATTTCACAATTAAACTTCAAAGAGCAAATCCTGATAGTAGTGGGTGTTTTTACGCAAACTTTTAATGACATTGGGACTGTGAGTCTTCTCATGTGACCTTCATGTACGTGTGACCAAAAGCGGATAATTGTATTTAACCCTAACCCTCCTCAATCCTTCACCTGTTGGAGGACTGAGGAGTGTTAGGGTTAAAAAACAAGATTGATCATGCTGAAGAAATTTTGTCTGACCACTTTTTAAACCTAATTTTGCACTCTGACCCATCAACCCAAACGTCAGGAAAATCCAAATCCACGACCGATCTAAAGTAATCCAAATTAATTTGATGCTAAGGACAGCATACCCCTGCCAACATGGCCTTTTAATATATACGTCTTGATGTCTCGGGGGCAAAGTAAGAGAGATGAGATTTGGAGGGGGCGACCGGGATGCTTCCTGGCAGTACCGTGAGGAGAGGAGACGGTTATGGCTTATGGGAGGCTTCAACAGTAAGGACACACCTGTTGTAGTCGCCGGGGTCGCACACCACTGTGACCCTGGCATGATTCTTGGCGGCAGCTCGCAGCAGAGTTACGCCACCTGTGATTGGAGAGACGCAAACATCACACTGCAATGCCGTCCAAACACAACCAAGCTAAGGTCATCAAGCCTCTCCCATTAACTTTTAACCCTACCCCCTTAGG